GTACCAGCCCCTACAACGACAGTAAAAGGCCATCACTATCAAGACCCCGGCGACACCAGAGAATGCTTATCGCAGGGAAAAAGATGGGGTACGGGGAAATGGTAAGGGGGCTCAACGATCCAGGTCACAGTTCAAGGGAGAAAGAGTGCTGATGGATGCCTGCTCACTACACCGGCTGCACCACACTGCACAGAGAAGGGGGTGCGGTGGCATTTAATGGGGATCGACTGGTCAGACAAACTATGACAGCGTGCAAATGTATCATGCGACGGCCCAGGCGGTAATGCGAGCCCCTCCGGACAAACGGCTGCGTTCGATACTGGACCGTCCTCCTAAAGTAAGAGTAGTCAATATAAGGTCCTGGACTACATGTCCCCAGTCATACCCGTTACACAAGTACCACACACACTAGGCTTTTGTCAGTTTTTGCCTATTGGGGGCGTCTCATGACAACTGAGTTCACTGTCACCCACCCTACGCTGTCAAACAGGCAAGCAAATTAAGCTACAATAGCAGAAGTACCTACCTAAGGTTATTCTTGGAAGGCAAGCCCTGTAGCCTGTGCTTCTGGCTTCAAGGCTCATAAAGGTCAGGTGTATGAGGTTGAAGAGGGTACAGGGTTTAAGGAGTTTTCAGGCATAAAAAGGGTCAGACGTTCTACAGGGGGGCTGCTGACCAGGGCTGGGCTAACAAATAAGGGGTGCTCCAAGATGCAAGGGGAGTCACTAGCAGCTCCACGGGACAAGGGAGGCCCGGGTCTTAGAAGAGAAAAGGCCATAGCCACAGGAAACAACAAACAATGATCTCTGTGTTTTAAGTTGTATCAATGGGATGCTGGACCCGGTTTCCCGCAGGTGCCGCTCCCGACCAATAGATGGAGCAGCCCGACAGATAAATCTTCAATCCTGACGGTTCTCTTACCACCGCCGGGATAGAGGGTTTACACAAGGGCTATTCGTAAAAAAAAAATAAAAAAAATAAAAAAAAATAAAAAAAAAAAAGTTGCAGAATGGTAGGGGTGAGATCTAGCTTGACAACGTATGAACAATCCTCCTACTTGCTTTGGACATCCCTCCACTGCACACCATTCTAAATGTATTTGGACCCGATAAAGCTCCCCATACGTGTGAAAATGTTTGGATCAGTCCCGAATGTATATTGGTCACCTCGCTGTCCAGGTTCACGGAGAATGTTGTGTAGCACAGCCACGCCCTTTGTCTTGAAGATTCAAAATGCAGTTCCTGTCCTTTTTTCAACTCTTTCCTTTTTYTTTTYTTTTYTTTTYTTTTYCTTTTTTTTTTTTTTTTTTTTTTTGTTGCAAGAATAGCCCTTGTGTAAGCTCTCTATCCCGGCGGTGGTAAGAGAACCATCAGAATTGAGGGCTTATCTGCCGGGCTGCTCCATCTATTGGTGGGAGCGGCACCTGCTGGAAACCGGGTCCAGCGTCCCATTGATGCATCTTTTGCAACACAGAGACTTGTTCCCAGGGCTGTGGTCATTTCTGTTGTCACTCCGGGGCTCCGTTATCCCATGGAGCTGCCAGTAATACCCATCCCATCCCATCTTGGAGCGCCCCTTGGAGCACCCCTTGTCGTATTTGCTCAGCCCTATTCAGCAGCCCCCTGATCATTATTACGACATCTGTCCCTGTAAGTCTCAGCGCATGTACTCGTCAGCTGGACATGGGCCCGGTGCCGGTGTGGATGCATCTGACGGCAATTACTCCAGAGCTGAGTAGAAAAAGTCTGTGTGTGCAAATGCTGTGTCTGTTTTTCTATTTTTAATCCTTGGAGCGAGTCTTATTTTCAACCCACCTTGCCTGTGATGTCACTTGGCAAGTTGGTATCCTATTTTGAAAGAAGTTGAAAACACGAAATTCGAAGTGCATCCAAGGTTGTCGCAATCAGGAATGTTCTCCTCTAGGAGAGTTCCGCAGTCTCTTCTGTTTTTTTTTTTTTTTTTTTTTTTTTTCACCCTTCTTTATCTGAACTCGTCAATTTGCATTCCGTCCAATTTGTCTCATTCTCTCCATCGAGTCGTAAGAGATCTGTGGAAGCTCAGGTGGTGATTGGTGGGTGTACGTCTCCAGTTTCTTTATTTTTCGGAAAATTTTTTGAAATGCCCCTGAACTTTGCGTTATTTCCGATTTGCCCCCCGGACGGCCGACTTACCCTCGTATGCCCCTGGACCTCTGAACTTTCGTGCAGGCCCCTGTCAGTGAGGAAGCGGGTTGTTTAATGGAAGCCGGATTTGTTCTTCTTTGTTTCAATCGTGTACTATGTGTGGTGTGATGAAGCTCTTTGTGAGTGCTATGAATGACGATGTATGCATATACCTGCGGAGGCACGTGTGAACCTTCCTGGAGTCTGCTGACTGGGAGTGAGTGAGACCGATCTGTTGAATGTTTGAAGATTGATCTGGCGAGTTGAAGCGTTAAGCGGACACAGTTTATCGAAGATCGATTGAGGAGCCGATATGGCCAGTGGCGGCCACAGGGGAGTGGACCGTCAGACAAGACGGTCTCGTACTCCCGATCGTGGGAGGCGCGAATATCGCGATAGCAGCCGGGAGAGACATAGCGGGGCGGACGGTAGAGGACGAGAGGGTAGGCGGGATCTTTTCACTGGCGACGCGCCACGGCGAGGACCGCCAGTGTGTTTTGGATGCAAGGTGATTGGGCACTACAGGTCCGATTGTTGGCGCTTCTGGACAGACCCAGCTACACGCCGACAAATGGAAGCGGACGGGTATACTTGCCCTCCGGAATTTAGTAGAGGCGGGAGATCGGCTTCACCACCAAGGGTGCGAATGCCAGCCATGAGCGACCAACCTGCAGCGCACGACCGGATCGACGAGATGGGCCGTAGTGTGGCCTCTTTGCAAGAGTACGTAGAGATGGAGCGGGCGCGGCGTATGGAATGGGAACATCGTCGGCGCGAGCGTGAGGAAGCTCGTCGGGCAGAAGAAGAAGCTCGTCGGGCGGAGGAGGAGCGACTGGCAAGAAAAGCAGAAAAGCAACGTAAACAAGAAGAAGAGAAGATGGCGATGGCGAAGGTGGTAGAGTTGCAGCTCTCCCTGCGACTTGGGGGGATCTGTGAAGACATTCGCGCTGAAGTTCGTCAGGCGGTTACCGCCACCGTTGCAAGGAACCCAGCGAGCATGATTACCGAGCAGCCGGCGAAAGGTAAGGAGAAGGCTGCCGAGGATGTGCCCTCTTCCTCGGGACTGCAAGCGAAGTCGAGGTTATCACCGAAGGCACCGAGCAGCTCATTATCCAGGATAAGCGGAAGAGGGGTGAGGACCTTCCAGTGGGCGACAGTCCCCCGGTTGTGACTCCGACTAAACGCGTTAGTCGTAAGGTCAGCGTGAGGCCACTACGTTTGGCGGATAGACTGCAGCGCACCCGCTCACGCGGTGTAGTTCGGAAAGCAAACCGGGGAGTCGCAACGAAGTCTTTGACTGCGGTCAAACAGCCAGCAAGAGATTTGGTGATGGAGCGGATGGTCTACCTAGACCAAACAAGGCGGGACCTATCCAAATTGGACTACGACCGTCTCAGAGCCATCTGCCGCAATGAGGACGTGAACTACACGACGAAGGTGCAATCAATTTTCGACATCGCTGATCGACGCGCTTTGCTTAGATACGGTGAAGCGCTGCCTGAACCAGAACCATTCGTCAACCTTGATAATGTCGACAGGCACTCAAGCCCCGAAGGTTCCGGCGACGAGGTTCGTGCTTGACGTAGCTTGACCCTCGAACAACGGACATGTGTATCGGAGGTACTGATGTCATATCGACGGAGTGATCAGTCAGTAGATGAGAACGTGGATGCAATCTTCCAATTGTTAATTGTTTTATTTGGTTTGCATGGTCGCTAGCGTTGGCTGAATAAGTGCGTGGATTCTTGGATGCGACTCTACCACCTCTTTGGCCTCAATTTTCTCGATCTACCTAACTGTGTGTACGTGGTGACGTCAGCCCGTTGTAAATCGCAATACATCAGGCAGACATCGCGTAAGCCTTCCGTGAGGTGGCGTGAACACCTGTCTGTCAGTAAACGTGAGGCCAATAACACTCATTTGTACCGTTGGTGGAACTGCTTTGGGGTTGAGTCGTACGCCCTTATTCTCGTAGACGTCATTGAACCTTCGGATTTAGTTTTTGTGGAGTCTCTCTTCATTCGTCGTTGGATCCCCTTTCTCAATTCAGTCGGCAAGGTGGCAGGGAGTAGAGGGAAGTGTCGACGTGGGAAACGGGAGAGGCAGAGAGGTAAGACGAATGATAGGGACAACACCATTGAGTGTCGAGGGATTCACCCGATCAGAGTGAGACTGTATGTCGATGATGTATGGTCCGTTGATATCTTCAATACCCTTCAGAAGCTCAACGAGAATGGGACTAGAAGTTTTTCCCTATTTTTGGAAGGAGGTTCGACTTGGTGCAGTAGTTGCAAAGGTATCCATAAGGACTTTGGTTCTTCAACAGTAATTAACGAAGGCAGAACGGGATGTCTATCTGATTTTAGAGAGCCTTCGAACGAGAAGGGTGCATCTTTTTCCAGTATCTTAGACGTTGGAAAGCTAAGAAGAAACTGAATAAGCCCTTCCTTGTCTCGCTGTTGAAGAACCCACGACGAATCGAATCTCTGAAATGTTGGGATCTGGAGTCCCTGTCGAGTCTGTTCAACTGTGTAAAGGAGTTTGAAAAAAAAGGTACACGTGCCTATTTGAGATGACTTTTTGGCCGTTGCGTTCGTGAGGGTTTTGGTTTCAATTTTTCTGCGAGGATTGTTGTACGTTTGTTGTTTGATGATCGTGTCAAATTTTCTGAGGTTCGGAAATTGGTCAACGACAAGCTGGGGAGTTTGGTCCTACCACCTTCCGTGGTCCGGCGCGCACGACGAAAAGTCCGCATGATTTGGACTCGTAATCCAAACATCGCGGGTCTAATACACAACCACCGTGTTTATGCTCGGAAGGGAGTGTTGCTCTGCACTTGTGCAGGCTTACCGCACCCACAGGTGCGAGGTCACGTGCGTTTCAGGCTGCGTGAGATGTCAGGACTGTCCCTGCAGCTCGTTAATGCCAATAACGTGCCGAAAGCACAACGGAATGATAGACTGGTGATGTTGGGATCAGAGATCAGTGATGCTTTCAATCGGTGGACAAATGCTAAGGGGCAGTCTGTCTCGTGCTCCCTTCAAGAGTTGAGTGGTTGTATGACAGCTTGTAGAATGTTGATAAGTGGTGGCCTGGATCGGAGGGAGGTGTTTGCCTTAAAAACGCGTCTTGACGGTCTGGTTCTTACGCCACTCGATAGGAACCCCAGCGAGATACTGGTTATTGGCCCGTTGTTGTACTATGAGGGTATGATGTCGTTGTTCATCCGGAATGAAGGTTACGTCCCGGTCGAAGGAAAAGTTGTCACCGTACTTGAGGCGATGAAAGCCGATTTGCAATTGGATGGCTTGACGGAGTTTGCGTGCTGGGATAAGAAGGGTACGATCGGGCATGCCTATGCCATGCCTAAGCACAAGGACGGTGAAGGACCTAGATAGATTTAGGCCCATTTGCCCCTCCTACCCCGAGGCAACAGCCCGGACAAGCCGGGCCATCGCAAAAGGCTTAAATCATCTCTTGTTTAGCCTTCCTCGTGATTGGCACTTCAACCTGAAGGCCGTCTCGGATCTGAAAGCAACGATCGAGAATTTCAATCGGAACATTGATAAACTGAATGTTCAACCAGAGATGGAAGCAAGATCCTTCGATATAAAGGATATGTTTAGCTTGCTCCCGCATCAGGATATCTTGGACGCCGTGGATTGGATTCTCGATTACCACACGTCGAAGAATCGTGTCTTTGTTTGGGTGAATACACGAGGTAAGGGCGCTACATTTGGTCGGACAACTGGTTACGACCATTGGCGAAGACTGGACTTCGGGGAAATATGCAAATTCGTTACTTTTGAACTGACACACACCTTCACAACAGCACTGGAGGTATTGCTGCAACAGAAGGTCGGCATACCAATGGGGAAGAGTACGAGCTCCCCACTGGCATGCATTATGTGCGCCCGCGTAGAATACTTGTTTTTTAGTAGTCTGGGAATCAAGAGGAGGAATGTCTTTGGTGTACGGCTGATCGACGATGTCAGTCTTTACTTGGCAACTGGGAATTTGTCGACGCAAGAAGTGGAGGAGATATATGCACAGTTCGCACGTTGCTATCCTGACAACCTTACCTTGAAGAGAACGGATACGGGAGAGGGAGTCTTGGATTTTTTGGGGTGCGAAGTCAGGGTTGGCCAAGCACCGCCGTACATTGTCAGCGTGCAAGTCTTGAAGAATGAGTCGTCGGTTTGGGAAAGCGAGAGTCTAACTTTCCAGAACGGGCACTCTTATTTGTCATGGGGCAGCAAGCTGCAAAAGATCGCCGTCCTGGCGAGCCATCTGCACAGGATCGATCGTAACACAACCGCGAGGTTCGAGATTCCCAAACGAGTGATTACGCTCAAACGGGAGTCACGGCTGAAGGACGTTCCGCCGAATATTTTCCACAGAGTATTGAAGAGGTTTGCCCACGAACGCGACCCGTACTGGAGGATGACAGTGGACTGGTTGGCAACTTAGGCACAGACCTAGGTTGACAGGGCTGGCAGTACTGACAAGGTTGTTTACGCCCTCCGATTTGGGGGGGCTCTGTTTTTGTCTTTGTTTTATTGTTTTGTTTGATTTTCCTTTTTCTCGAATTTCGTGTTCGCTCAATTTGTGTCCCTGAGGCAGGGCCCGTGTTTGGTGTGGCTCGGTGTGTTGGCTCCGATTAACTAGGTGTTAAGACGTGGGGTTTCCCTTATGACCCCCGGTAGGCCTCCTTTGGGGCTTGAGAGCCCAGCCTCTGGACGTTGTGAGGTATTCGGCTCTGCTTTCACCCTGTGTTCTTTACGTTTCTTAGGCCCTGGGGTCCGACCTTTGGATTTGTGTGGCTTTGACTCCGTCGACTTCCATATAGGACAGGTGACTTGGAATATAGGTGGGACCTGCGATATTGTTGGAGATGATACGGACACGGTGGGTACTAAGAGTATATAGGCAATGATTAGAACAGTGTTGATCCTCTTTCGGTCTGCGGTCTTCCTGCAGCTTCGGTTGTGGACTGACCGCGTTGGGTTAGAGGTAAGATCGGTGGTTCCTGGGGAAGCGGGTTGTTTAATGGGAGCCGAATTTGTTCTTTTTTGTTTCAATTGTGTACTATGTGTGGTGTGATGAAGCTCTTTGTGAGTGCTATCAATGACGATGTATGCATATACCCTGTCAGTGAGGGGCACAACTTTTCGGAATGCCCCTACCGGACCGGCAGTCCAATTTCCCCTGCCGCCTGTCCAATTTGTCCTTTTGTGGGGGATGCATCTTCCTGAGATGCCCTCCCGCAAGGAGGCGCTAAGAATTTGAATTCAAACCCCATACTTCTCTAGGCCGCCGCACGAATAAAAGGGTTGCACTCCATGTCGTGTCCACTGCTGCAATTCACCGTGTAGTGCATTGTTCAGCTACTGTGACCCACCGCCGCCTTTGGACATCCGCGGAGTACGTTGGCGAAGGTCAGTGTTCCTCCCCTTGTTCCACGCCTCTCTCTCTCTCTATGTCTGTGTGTGTGCAGAGAGAGAGAGAGAGAGAGAGAGAGAGAGAGAGAGAGAGAGAGAGAGAGAGAGA